ACTACCGGCTCCTTAGTTTGGTCTGGGACCGGTCCGAACACGGACCTATGTTCTTTAGCCCGACTATGTGGAGCCTCTGCCGAGCCGAGCTCGGGTTGGGCTTTGTTGAATCAACCCTTGCTCGGGTTTGAAGCCCTATCTGGCCCAGGTTTTAGGGCTTTTTCCAGGTCCTAGCTAGGCGCGGGCTCAGCGGGGTCTCAACCACAGGCCTAATTGGACAGTCCTAGTGGCAGAGCTAGTATTTTCGGTAGGAGATATGATTATTATGGTATATATGCAACGACAAAATATTACAATGTATAATTTTGTGAATACTTAGATCATTTTAATATTTGTACTCTTCGATTGAATCAACATACTTCAATCTTCTAAAGTATCCTTTTAAATGTATCAATCGTACTTGGTTTTTCCATAACAACAAAATAGAAATTATCATCTTTTGAAGATTTTGACAAATTGACACACTTTAAATTGTTTAAAATTATTTTAAATATAATAAGAAAAAATAAATCGATTTTAACTATCATATTCATAAATTAATTGTAGAAGTACACATGTCCATTCAAACTCAAACATCGAAAACACTTCACTAGAGTACAAGTTAGAAAATGTTATATTAGACTCAAGCTATTGGCATTGAGCCTAATTTTGATGTTGACTTTAATTGATTTGATAATTACATGTCCCTGATTAACCACTACACAATTGTGGTTAATGAAAGCACCCTAATGCCACTAGGAAAGAACCCTAGAGGGGAGGGAATAGAATTTATGCTAACCTAATCCGATTTTATGCCAATTTAAAACTTATTAACAAATATATCCTAACAAATGATATATAAACAATATATGTGCAAGGATATACAAACTAAGGGCGATATAAACATGCAACAAAGGCGATATAACAATATGCAATAATAAATGCGCCAATGCTAAACTCAAACACAAGGAAATGATCACGGAGTTCGGACCTTCCGTCCTACATCTCCACTCCCCACTCCCGTGGAGAAATCCACTATCACACCGGGTTTTCAACGATCACCGAAAATGTTTACACCACACAATATCGGTTTTTAACGCTCACCAATCAATGTTCACAATCTCACAATATAACTACACTAACTACCACCTCAAGTGTTGGTCTCTAGCCTGTGTCTCCCTCAAGTGTTAGGAATTACAACCTCTCTCCAGACATTACCACCTACCCCACTCCTCTTGGGACGACCCCGTCTCTCACCACACACTCCTCTTGGTGTACTAGTGTATTACAAAGTGAATCCTCACAAATAAGCTCTCTACAACAATCGGTTTTCTAGTTCACCGAAAATTTTACAACTTACACACTTGCAATTACAATTCACACCCTCTAAGTGTTGGCCTAGCCTATTTCACCTTCCTCAAGTGTTCGGAATTACCACATCTCACTAGGCTTTACTACCGACCCCACTCCTCTTGGAACCAACCCCGTCTCTTACCAACCACTTCTCTCGGTGTCCAAGTGTAATACAATGTGAAACTCACAATTAGGCTCACAAATCAAATGATTATTCTCTAAACAAGGTGAGAACTCAATTAAGCACAACTCAAAGTTACAATCTCTCACAACCCCAATTATACTATGTATGAAATACTATAAGCTCAAGTGGGTGTGTGTAACAATGAGATTTAATAAAACAAACTAAACTCAAATAAATCTAGCTTTAAGGAAATGAAAAGCAAACAAATAAATAGCTAGATAAGAGTAAATCTAGCTTTAAGGAAATGAAAAGCAAACAAATAAATAGCTAGATAAGAGTTTAGAAAAACTTCTCTAGATGATAACAAGAGAGAGGGAGAAGAGTGAATGCTCAAACACCAATAGATGATCTCCACTTGCTCTTGTAAAATTAACTTAACAAACATGAAACCCAAAAAATGCTTAAAAGCTTCTTAAAAACACTTAAACAAACTTTTAAACCCTTGTTAAACTTTCTTAAACTATTCTCTTGAGTAAATAAAGCTGACGATATGTGAGGGTATTTATAGGAACCCAAACCCAAGAGAAAACAAGGCAAAAAGAAAAAAAAACAAAATGGCTGGAAAAACTAGCTGTTATGGCATCAGTCGACTAACGACTTTCATCAGTCGACTGATGAGCTGACCGTTAGAGGCGTTTTCCAGCTCATCAGTCAACTGACGGACCTTATCAGTCGACTGATAATCTCATCAGTCGACTGGTCAGTCGATCAAAACAAAACAAAAACTTTTGTTATTCCAGGCGTTTTCTTCAGTCGACTGAACACAGTCATCAGTCGACTGATAACACTGTATCAGCCTGATTGAAACAAAAAAATCTAATTTTCAAACCTCTTTTAAAAATAGTAAATAAAATCAGAAAAATATAAAACTTTGAGAAATGATTGTAAACATGATAATATACATGTTATAAAAACTGATTTTAAAAAATCACCTACCAAATGAGAAATCTCTTCATTTTGTAAAAATAGTCCAAAACATGAAAATACAACAACACTTGTTTTGTCATTTTGACTAAACCATGTTTTGAAAAATATATATATATATATATATATATATAAACCAAAAACGTGTATGTGTGTGTATGATTGAGTTTAAAGTATTAACACACATAATATAAAAACCTAAACTAATTATATCCAAACTTGTGATCTTCAACGAATCTCTATCTTGGTAAACTTGCGGATGAAGCTTGAACTTGGATCTTCAATTTGAATTGCATTGCTTCATACCATAATTCCACCAACCTTCATTGGATATGATCGTGAATGCCTGATTCCATCCATCCTCCAACATATTATTTGTCTAGAATTGATACAAAATACAAACACTAGACAAACAACATTAGATGTAAATTGTTTGTAAATCATCATCAAAACAAAAGGACCCAACAGTTAATAATTTGGATGGTAAAATAACAAAAAAGTAATTTCAAATACTTCAAAGACTAATTGCAATGTATGAAGATTTGAGGGGGTTTTTTCATATAAAAGTTTTGAGAAATTTCAAATATAAAAGCTTTGGTGCCCTATTTCAAATATGAAAGATATGAGGGGTAATGTGAAAAATCTCATATATCTTCACTTTTTTTTGGGGGAGGGGGAGGGGTTCATATAAAAGTTTTGAGAAATTTCAAATATAAAAGCTTTGGTGCCCTATTTCAAATATGAAAGATATGAGGGGTAATGTGAAAAATCTCATATATCTTTATGCCACATCAATACTCATGGAGTACCATCTAAGAATTTTGCCTCACAATATCGATTATTTCTTAATAGATCATTTAGCAAAATGAGTCACCATGCATTCATACTCTTTATTTTCATTGCTTTAATACGTTACTCAATCAAACATGTTAACATGTACATGCACAATATATACATGCTAAAATATGTTGAATTATACAAATGTACTATTGTTGAAATTCAATCTTTTTAAAAGAAAGTATATATACGTTGCATAATACATGAAGATTCAAACTGTCTAAAAAGGTTTTCTTAATGAAAAGTCATAGTTGTAGAACACAATTTTGTTTTGAGATGAAAATAATGCGGTTACTTGAACTTAGAACTACGCAAAATCCAGAACCAGAGCTGTCTTCTATCTACAACTTGATGCAGTCCTAGAGGCCATTTTATCATTTATGAACCAGTTTGATCCAATAATGTTTTAAGTTAGAAAGTTAATTGTATAGATGGATGGATGTGTTGAGAACTTTAGGGTTCCTTAATCTTCTCTAATGATTGATTAATTAGGAGGAAGCATATTCCTATACACGTAACACCTGTTAGAGAGTAACACCTGTTAGAGAGCTGAAGAATATTTCCCCTAGTGTGCCCTCCGATATTCACGTCTGTGATAGATTAAGCAAGTTTGTTGAATGTAGAATCTAGATTTAGGATTTTACCCAACATACCTTGGTGTTGTAGGATTACCCACCATTTTTAGAGAATTTGTGGGGCCATATGGATAACTCTACCAGGTCGATGTAGTTAGTCGGCCAGACTGCAATTTACACTTATCGACGGCCAGTTGAATGAGTCATCTTCGTATTTAATGTGTCAAGGACAAAATGGTTGAATTGATGCCATCGTCCAATGAGTCATTATGACTCCAGCTTGAGAAGCCATAATGACTCTGGTGATGAATTTAACGCAATGGTGACTGGTCCCCGAAGTATGAGCACCAATTGGCCATGCATTAAATGCCAATGACATTGGCAAAGTCGATATGTCATTTCATCAATC